GTGTGTGAATATATGTATATATATAAAGCTGTGTGTGTGTGTGAATATATGTATATATATAAAGCTGTGTGTGTGTGTTTATTGTCAATATGCCAATGTTTAATTCATGAATCTGTAATAATGTCTACGTACCTTGCAGACGGTAGAACAGCGACGTCCAGTCGTTTGAAGGTTGATCCTCATAAACTACCTCAATGTCGAAGTCTTCTCCGTGCTTCTTCCTGAGGGAATCTATACAGTATGAAGCAAACTATGGTAAGTCTATATCAGTAGTATCGTCGTCGTCGTCGTCGTCGCCACCGCTGTCACGATCAGTATTATGTCAACGCCTACTAATCAAACTTGATGACACGTTGGTTTTACGAGTGAAGTCTGAGCTAAGGCGTAGGTTACTCATGGTTAGCCTTGTTTTCGGCTTTATTACTGAAGGTATAGAACTGTAACGCGGGATGTAAACAGTGGAATCTCTGTTGATAGCCGACAAGGATTACGGTCGTAAATGCTTATTATATTTAAATACACGCAAAAAATAATCGAAAAAATGTCTTTAAACCTAATCGTCAACGAAGTATTTGCTCGTCATAGCTAAGGCCAAGGTTATTTCAACCCTCTCCGTGCGAAATCGCGCAGGCTACGACCGTTGCTACGGGCGTTGGTCGTACCGATGAGGAGTTTAACGAGTGCCATAGAATTTCCTCCATCAGCAGCGGCGAAGTCTGCGAGCAGGAAGCTCCCTCTACCGGGGAATACAAGCTGTCACCCTAATCATACCGATAGCATCCAGGCAGAGCTGCGTTGCTTGCTTGTTGATCACAAGACAGCCGCGCATTGTTTCACTGTGTAGGCCAGCCCCAACAGGGCCTTCATTCTGATAGAAGACACGAGGCTGTTCCATGCTAGCTCTGAGTACAAACAGTGGTATGACTGAGTGTAGCGGACGCTATAAATGTATTGATAGTATGCATTTTCTGGACTTTGATTTAATTATTTTTGTAAAATTTATCACATCAATCTTTTTTGTTGTACTTTCATATTCAAACTATAATCTCTGCATGTGTGTCAGTGATATGATAGCGGATACACTTTACTAGCCTCCCTGTGACCGCCTCACTCCATTTGATTTATTAGAGAAAACTTAAAAGAAATTAGTCCAAGATGTTGATAGACAATTAGATGCAAATTTACTCTCTTTTTGAACTGTTAACAATTTAAAACTTTCATTTAATGTACATAATTGTATTATTCATAAGTGTCAAGTCTTTTATTATGAAATATATATAACCTTGGAATGCACTTGTTTTTCAACGTGGACCAAACGCTCAGAGAGACCAAACAAGCCAGAGATTTAGAATATACGACCAATTAGAGATATTTCCCAGGTCCCCAAGTGCGCCAACGCGTTTTTATGACAGTGTATCTTAACGATTATAATACGACAGTTCACTCAGCGGTGAAACGGCCTAGTAATAAATTGAGAGCTGGAGAGTTCGATAGGACACAATGAAACTGACGTTCGCTTNCAAACCATGGACGGGCTATTCGACAATAGCAAAATATGGTAAAATTTGACGACCGCCTGCGTATTTGCGATTTGCAGAGCGTCATCTTTTTCATGTATATGGCCGTCGGCGATATGCATATACAATATATACGTACATATAGGCTATGCTGCTGGACTTTGTCTCCGGTCGACGATTTTCTCATTTCGACGTCAGCTCTGCGACGGGACCTTGTGTCGGCGACTTGTTCTCTAGGAACATTGCGGAAATTCAGCGAAATACTGCTTGCGTTGGCAACTCTAGGGTATCCAGAAAACTCGGGTTGTGAATTTCGG